ACATCTGATTGTTTGCTCGTGGGTTTATGGAGGGAGTGTGACAACGAATATACCGTCAGTGATACACACAAGGACACACGGACATACGGACAGACACATGGACACACCTGCCTACGGACAGATCCTGACACAGCAAAAATCGGAAGAAGCCCCGCCTTGTGGGCGGGATCCAGGGGGAATTTTCGGCATAAAGTAAAGGATCCTGAGCATTGGAAATCAGTGCGACGGGAGGGTCCACTCAGAAGCTCGACCGGGAGGGTCGACTCAGGAACGAGTGTGACGAGAGGGTCCACTCAGGAGCGCGACCGGGAGAGTCGGCTCAGGAGGAGTGCGACCAGTGGGTCCACTCAGGAGTGCGACCAGCGGGTCCACTCAGGAGTGCGACCAGAGAGTCGACTCAGGAGCGAGGGCGACCAGCGGGTCGACCCAGGAGCGAGCTCGACCGGGAGGGTCGACTCAGGAGCGAGCTGCGACCAGCGGGTCGGCTCGACTCATCTTCAGCTCGTCAATCTCTGCTGCCGCCGGAGGTCTCTGCTGCCGCCGGAGTGGTGATCGTTGCGGTTTGGCGACGATCCAGCGCTGCACGCTACGAGCGAGTTGTGGGCGCCACCTACCGACCGGGTTCTGAACTGCGACAGCGTATCAACAGCCATCCGAACCAATTCGCCACGGTGACAGGGGATCGACTGATACGTATGACGCGCACCGCCCCCTCACCACACGACCACCAGGCGTCTGTTTGACCTAAAGAATCGACTCCGAACACTGACTATTCAAGACAACTCTTACCACTCAAAAACACTCGAACCCATAAGCCATCCGTGGCTGGAAAGCATCACAACGAGACCGAGTGATGGCCCTCCGTCTCTTATAAGAGTATTCTTAATTTTTATCTTTAATATTTAGTGGGCTGTACTCTTAATCGCATAAATTCCCAACAGATCCATCAATACGAACTGATTCTTGGCACCTCCTTCCGCCGAGCCACGCTCACGTGGGGAATGGTGGCCCACCGGACCCTTATCAGGTGATCTGGTCCCCAATTAGTAAACTTGGTATAAGATAACGAGCTTCGGAAAAGGAGCACCGTCGCAGGCCCTTACTCCGAGCCGTTCTGTTGTCAGATAACCTGCCGATGTATCTGTTGAGATTGGTGCCTTTAAGAATAATAACTGTTTTGATTGTGTTTTTTTTTTATCGCCGTATAATCTTTCAAGTATCTTTTAATCATAATCGCCGCACGTACTCGCATCCTCTACAAATATTCAACTGTCCCGTGACCCAAGGTGCTAACAACGTGATAAGGGTTGCGTATGGTCAATAAGGAGTGTGGTACTGCGTGAACAATATTGAGTATAATCATTCATTAGCGTTAAGGTTTTCTTAGCATAGTATTTGCATATTTCAACGACTCTCTCTCTCACTAACAACCATCGCGTTATGAACAATATTGAGTATAATCATTCATTAACATTAAGGTTTTCTTAGCATAGTATTTGCATATTTCAACGACTCTCTCTCTCACTAACAACCATCGCGTTATGAACAATATTGAGTATAATCATTCATTAACATTAAGGTTTTCTTAGCATAGTATTTGCGTGTTTTAACGACTCTCTCTCTCACTAACAACCATCGCGTTATGCGGGATCCATGTGCAGTTGTCAAAGTGAAATCAGACAATCGTTGATGATACTGTATTGATGCCGTGTTGACGTTCCGGGATTGAGAGTTCGCATATTATATCATAGTTAAGGTTGAATTAGTAATACATTGATCAATACAGAAGTGGTTGTGTGATTCTTTCCTGAAATCTATGCATAAGATCTGCTTCTGCGTTGAGATTTGAACTTGGTGACCTTAATAAACACACTAATACATACTCAGTAAATGTTAAAGCGATAACGGGGTGAACCGGGGACCTAAAAATATAACCACGAATAAACTCTGGGAATGTTAAAGCGAGAATGAGACGAACCTAGACAACGATGCCGAGTTAATCTAAGTTAATCTTGCATACTTACACCACACCTGCATAACTGCATACGATTAATTGCCTTCTTCCGATCGATAACCCACCCTCGTCACCGAGGCGGGGTCTGGTTATCATAACGACTTGTATTATCATAATTACACCCACTCGCATAATTAATCCGATTACCTCTCGAATTGGCATAATTAAAATGTGCGTAATTATATAAATTAACATATTTCCGGATAATTACACATTTGGCCAAATTTCATTTAATTATTATTATTTTCACTGAATATTCATAACCCACATATACAACATAATAATTTCACCCACGCACGCATACAACATAACAAATTTTCATAACCCAACATATACAACAATATGCAAAACTTTGTCAAGGAATGCATGATGGCTTGTCTCACTGGTATAAAGTGTCGTCAAAATGCTTGTGGTAATGATGTGCTTATGTAAGATTGGTGAAAAGTTAATAAATATATTAACATATTTTTTTGTCTACAAACATTTCACAGCAAGCGACATTGTTATCCTTCAATAAGCATGCAAATGTAGATGGATAGTGTGTTTCCTTTGAGCCATGTACTCCCAACGATGATGACAAAAGTACATTCATTATCAATAATCCAGCCAGGGTAGTTATTCCACAGCGGAATTAGAAGATATTTTCAAAACAATGGATTGAAATATTAACCACCGATATAAATTGACTTCACAAAGTGATAAAATAAAAATGCAGCAATGTGAGGATCACATTAACAAAAGATAGTTTTACTATCACATTGCAGCATAGCAAATGAACCACTCCCATCACCCCTGCTCCTTCACACGTGGAACAAGCTAAAGTATGTTGAACTTCTTTTGCACCGTACGTAGCCAATCGTGTTAATCGGAGGTACGGGGGAAGGACAACGAACTACAGTATATCCAAGCAGTTATCTTTAATTATCAATAAACCTTTGATTTAAAGCTTTCGTGACTGCAGGGATTCCTATTCTTATTGTTTCTCTTCTACGTGACTTTACCGAAAGAACCAAGAATAGCAATAAACGGCAGACATTAAACTTTTGTCAAATTTTTATTTTACATGGTAAGACCCACTAAGCTATGTGGCTCTTATTTTGCATAAGCAACCTGGCCACAAATGATAGCTCAACGAAGTGGCTTATGTATACATTTAAAGCAGCCAAATAATATAAACGCATGTTTCGAAATGTGGAGGGGAACACCGGAGGACCCGGAGAAAAATCCACGTGGCCACGGGGAGAGAGACATGCAATACTTAAAATATACAGCAGGCGATCAGGCTCGGGATCGAACCCACGGCCTCCTGCATACCAGGAGTTAACATCTACAATGCAGCAGTCTCAATAACTCGGCCCTGAAGCATACCTGTCAACCCATACGGTTTACCCGCACTCTTGTACGGGGAAATTTGAGTTTTCAGGTCCATACGGCGTACAGCCGTTTCAATACGGACAAAACATGTTTTGTCTGTGCTTCTCCCTTGTGATGAGACTTTATAGGATGAACGTTGAGATGTATAAGGGCACGGGTGGACAATACGGTCTGAATTGGTCTGTAATAAGGTAGGCACTGTTAAGGGGGTGACAGGTTTGCTGAAGGAAAAACCCTTTCTTTTTACTGCGATTTAGTTATTTGCTTGTGCACCACTGGCAATGCAGTTTGACTATAGATGAGTGAGTCTGCACATGTGTTTTATATTTTCTTGAGATGCTGACAGACTGTCAGATGTACTCAAATGGGAGATCGTTTGGGCAGGCAGCAACAGAACCAACACTTCCCAGACCATAAATGATAACTACCACTGTATTGGCATTTTAAAAAGAAAGGTACGTATTTACAAAAACATATCATGATATGTGCCTCATGGCATTGTGGCCAAACTTTAACAACCATCAATTTGATTGACAGCCGTAAAAAACGCCATTGTTATTTACTCTTCAAGTGTACGCTGGAGAATGTAAAGATGAGGGATGGTCAAAATTATTCACAGATTGAAAACAAGCACCAGCCCATGACTCATGTTTAAGCACTGCATTTGTATATGCATAGACATCTAAGGTATAGCTTGGGAAACAATGGAATGCATGCATGCAAGTTTTACTTATTTCACGCCATACGTAGCCGACCGTGATAATCGAATGTGAGAATAGTGTTAATATACTGATAACACTGGGTTCTATTGGATAAGGATGTCTATGTGCTGTACTACGATTGGTCATCTTCCATGTTCTGAAAGAGGTGCGACTACCCACAGTTTATGATGACCAGAGCCCAGGTGTGCCCTTCGCAAAGCTGTTCACCATCAACGGCCCCACGAGGGTCATCTCTACGGCAATTGGTCTGTTTGACCGAGAGGTCCAGCTTCAATTCACTTGCCCTCTTATTGTACACATTGTTTTCATTTCCCTGAATGACTTTGATGCCTGATTAAAAAGGTAAAGGTGCGACCCTTTAATTGCTTTGCTGAAGCCACTGCTGGTGGGGGAGGCTCTGCACTCGAGAGCACTTTCAAGAATCCCGTCAGAGAGAATTTGGCCTACTCTTCCAACGCTGAACGCTGTCCACGTGGTCTTGCTAGAGGTGGGATTACCCACACTTTATCCCACCACATGTAACCTGTCAATCGACTAGTCGTGGTGTATCTATTTATACTGCTGGGTGGACAGAGGCAGGGGGAATTCAAGAAATGTGCTCATCGCTTCATCTGCCATGCCTAGAGATATAGCTCCGAGGTAACTTAAAATGACCATGCACACTTTGAACATGACAGAATCTGGTGATTTAACTGTCTTCAACCGCCCTCCTTCGAAGCGTTTTGGCCACCACTCATTGACTATTCAATGACCAGACCCCGTGACGTGCAACGGAGGAGGAGGATTTTAGCACGTTTACATTTTTTTACTGTAAGCATTGTGAACTTGAAATATTACACCCACAACTTGCAGGTTTGGGCAAGCCTCCTTTCCCGGACCCCCCCCCCCCCCCCCCACTGTGGCAGAACAGCTCCCACACACCCAGAGCAGCCGAATAACGAGGAAGGCTGATGCATCCGTGACCAACAACAACAGCTTCAAATCATGCGCCGATGTTTCCTACCACGAGTCGCTCTGCTTCACTTACAGGTAGGTTTGCGCCCACATGTTTGTCTTCATTCTTTCATAAAGGGTCATGGGTGTTTTTTTTTATCCGGGCGGTGCTGTAGCTAGACTAACCGCATGACTCACAATCGGAGGGTTCGTTCGTTTCTTAGTCCGCTTGTCCTGGTGAGGGTCGTGGCGGCAGCGTGTTGAGTAGTGGCGGTCCAGACTCCAAAGCTCTTCCTAGGGAATTCCCAGGTGTTCCCAGACCAACCGAGCGACACAGCCCCGCCAGCGTGTCCTGGGTCGGCCCCCGGGGGTCTTCATCCAGTGGGACGTGCTGCCCGGTAGAGCTCCATCGGGGAGTCTACCGTGGGGCATCACCCCAATTGGCTCCTCTCGATCCGGAGGAGCAGCGACTCGACTCTGAGGCTCTCCCGGGTCACCGAGCTCCCCACTCGATCACGGAGAGTGGCGAGCCCGGCAACCTTGCGGAAAAACCTCAGTTCGGCCCCTTGTACCCGGGATGTCATCCTTTTCGGTCATTACCCAAATCTCATTACCGTAGGTGGGTTGTGAGTTTATTATCCCCGTTTGGGAGGAGGCGGGGTTGGTACTCTAGTGGTTGTTTCGTCGTGAGATAGGCTCCCAACGTGACAAATGTAGAATCTCCAGCGATGGTTCATGGCCCGAAATGTACTGCAATGCTAGTTTGAGCAAGGCGGATAATTGTGTTTTGATGGGAGCCGTGCTTGATTTTTTTTTACTTCCATCTGGAATTTGTGTGTTACAAATTTAGATGGAAGTATGACCCTTTCACAAAAGGATAGTTCCCACTTTTACATCCATTCACGATGTTGTAATCGTTTTTGAAGAATGCGATCAGTATATGTGTCCATAATAAAGGTTTTTTGGTTAGATCGTGTAAGTATAAATATGTCGTAACCCTCCACCACCCGACACAGCCAGTTAGTAAGGGATTTGTCACGTAAACAAAACGCAAATTAGTTACTACTTCAGCCCACCGGTGTGTTGGAGAGTAAATCCACAACATTTACAATTTGAGTACGACGTTTCGCTGGTAATTACATCCAGCATCATCGGGCGATTTTCCAGTATATGTACATGTGTAGTAGAGATCACAGCGCTTTCCTCGCCTTGTCATGTAGCATTGTGCGATGTGTCAGCATGCGACGATGACAATCGTCGCAATTTTACGCTACCTTCTCAGCTCGTGCTCGCCACAGCATGGACGACGGATCGAGTGCAGCAAGATGACGCCCGGTATGCACCTGTGAAAGGTAAGACAACACGTATCAGCTAGCTTACCTTTGTTTTTCAGGTTTTTTTTGTGTTAGTTTACATCCATTTGTCAGTCCACTGCTGTATGAAGGCATTCCTCCTATTGTCAGTAGTGGGGGTTGTATGACCACACATCACCACACTGGTCAGTGTGGATTTATGAATGTGGGGGGCTCTCAGGACTGGTGCAGGTATAACTTTCTACTGACGTTAGCCGAGGCCAGGAATTTGAAAAAAATCAGGTTAAGCAGGTTCATAGCCCAATGCGCGAACCACTGTGCCCGATGCTCCACCCCGCAAGGCAAGGCCGTAATTATAATATATATTGAGGGGGGGACACATCCCCCCCCCCCCATATTCAAATATGCTCAAAATGCCCCCCCCCCAATATATTGCTGTAAAATAGATTTCTGTTTATATGATTGTGGTTATGGTTGTACTTTATTAATCCCTGAATGAAACAAGAAATGGTAAAAAAAATTAAAAACAGAGCAATGTAATACAGGACACTATTATACATTATTGTTAAAAATAAATAAAAAGTCAATCCCATGTGTTAGTGAATTTTTTAATATTTTAGGCAGGAAATGGCAGGAATTTCGTTTCCAAATTTAAATTTCTTTCTGGGGGGGGGGGACCCCAGACCCCCTGGAAGATGTGACATCTCTGGACCAAATTTGCTGCCACGCATGCACTTTGTTAGGGCGTCCAAATTGTTCTCGTGATTAGTTTCGAACTTAGCGGTCCAATTCCTGTAATCATCAAATTAATAACGCAATGAACATCATAACAACCGAAACTCGGACACCGACACCAATCACCTGGCGAAGCAATCTGCCACCAGCCATCCGCAGAGACATCGCGCAAACCGCAGGGGAGTTTGCGTGTTTTCATGCCAACTACAACCATCATCAACCGATACCTCAACAAGGTCCCTTACCGCCAACGCAAGTCCCGACCCCACCCCACCTTCTGGGATCGCGATATCACCATCCTAGAATCTCACCCAGATCCGGAAGAAGGCTGGCGAACAGAGTAGAACAACGCAGACGTCCAGAATAAACGCCTCATGCAGGACACAAACGTCGCACCTCGTGGCCTTGAAATTCCTCTTCGAAGACACTGCTGGAGCCATCAAACCGCATGAGAACATCGCCGGGGCCGATGAGCACATATCCGTCATCAATGTAAATTTAAAGACAATCCACAAAACTGCAACCGTGGCCATGCAACCCAAACTGTGGACCATATGTTGAACCACTGTAGTCTGTAATCCTTCAATGGAGGAATAGCAAAAACTACACGAACTATCTCTTGAATAAACGAAATGTTAATACACTAAGAAAATAGTGGTTGAATTAGAGTTAACACGTGCCATCAAATGATTGTCCTATGAAGTGAAAAGATACCTTGCAAAAGGTATCTTTTGTGGGGTTTGAATACTCATTTCAGCAGGAACTTTTGACTTTCGTTACGTTTTTACAATGTGAATAACTTTCATATTTACAAGCGATAGGCAACAAAACATATTTGTGGTTTTACCTCATATACAGGGCATTATTGCATTTTGCTCTGGGCATCACATTAAACCTGTCGGTACCACAAGTGGTGTAACCTGTGCAAACATGCTCACACATTGGTTTTGTACAGTAGTTCATTGTGATTTTGGAACGAACCTGATCGTCCATGTCAACATTCAACGAAATGCTGTTTCCACAGTAAACAAACAAATTACTGTGGACACGTAGTAATGTATTTTAAATCGCGGTTGCTGAGCGAAGGCCCAAAGCCTCAAAGCGCCAAGTGGACAGCATCAAACAGCACTCCTAAAATAAGAAAAATTCAGCGCTATTTGCAATGTATGTATGCTGAACTTCTTTTGCACATCACCAACCGTGATGATCGGAGGTGCGATGTATAGAAGAATGAAAAATTCCATAAATAGAAGTCATTTGAGTCTAACTGTGGGTGTGGTCCAAACAGGAGGTCAAATTGGAGCGATGGAGATAATTCTATTTCCAAAAGGTCTTCACTGACAAATAATTCAGAGGGCACTTACTTGACGGGACATTGTAGGAAACCACTTCCGATGACATAACCCATTGTGAATGTATTCCATCTCACAATTGTGCAATGGTAAAACCGAAACCTTTCCGTTTCTAATTCACCTTGCAGTTTATTTTTGCAATGTTATTTGATCTACCTTCCATAAAGTCAGGGTTAGTTTAATCAATTAATAAAAACCCATACATTTTGAGTCATTGGCCAATGCATTTGCCGCGTGAAGGCTTTCCTATGCCATGTCAGGAGTCAGTCATGGGGGTTGTTTGACCATACTTCACCACACTGGTCATTGCGGATTGGTAAAGGGGAGGGCGAGGAGCAGATACAGGACTTGTTCAGATGTCGCTCACCACATCGATCAGCAATGGACAGGAGTTTAATTTGGGCCACGGGGATTGTACAATGGTTACCACGGCAACGTCACTTTCCAAAACATGATATGCAGAGGCACAGAGATGTATTAACTTGTGATACTCTATTTACACAGTAACTAGAAACGCCTGCAATTTTGAGTGATGCTCTGTGTTCTGATATTCCTTTCACACACCAGGTGGTCACGCATTTCAAGAATGGTCATCATATGGAGACATCCAAAGAAGGAACAATAATTTTCAAGCATACTTTACTAAGGTACATAACAATGAATGCATTATATCACTCAGTGCTCTTAATACTGAGTTTTCAACGTTGCAGGTTATAGTACAATGATAGCAACACGAGATGTCTGGCCAACGTGGAAGAGGTCAATGCTATAAAGAGCAGCTCTCTAGAGCTCCCCCCCCCCCGTGAAAACCCTTCTGCCATCAGAACCGTGAACAAACAACAAACAATAGCAATGGCTGTAATATTCCATGTTTACTTCATAACAATATCGAGTAATACCCCGATTTACGTCTCCCCCTTTTTACGTCGTCGCTTTATTAACACCCCTAGCTGATTTGCGTCACCTCAACCCACACTCACGACACTGACAGCATCACCTCCGTCCGTCGTTTCTCATGTCCGTCGCGTCTCAGCCTTCCCCTCCATGCACCTACCCTGTACGCGAACTACTTTGCGTCTCACGTAAAGAAATGTGTTGTCCTGTAGCGAACAAATATATGATTTACGTAAAGTGTTTAGGCGCTTTGATTTACGTAATTTCGGAAAACATCGTCGCACCTCTCATGAACGCATCCCCGACGTAAACCGTGGTATTGCTGTAAACTGTGTTGCGTAATATTCAGAGCACTACTTAATATTGAATTCGTGAACGTGTGCAGGAGCAGGGCCCTTTGCTCTAATGAGCACATTTGTTCTCAATTTGCTGTAACAGATTCTCAGAAGAGAGAAGAGGCAGTTTGTTATACCTTCGATCAAAATTCCAGAAAATGATGCCGGACCTTTCCCAAAGCATTTCACCACTGTGAGTACGTTAGCTTCGTCATGAATCCTGGGAAGTGATAAAATAAGTCAGGGCTTAGTAACGGTTGAGGGGGGGGGTGCCCAGATAATCTTCCATGAGGAATTAAGCCCTGGTTGAAGTCATATTTGCCTTGAGCAACAATGCCTCTGTATCTAATAATTAAGAACCTTATGACGGGACCCCGGGGTCCCGAATAAACGGAATTAAAAATAATAATTAATCAATTTATTTTTGGCGACTCTGTCCCACCGCGCACATAAACGCTGCGACCCGCCTGGCGCAGATCGTTCTGTTCTCGTGTCATCCAAGCGCAGCGGCGAGTACGAATACGCAGAAGAAACAAAACGTTGAAACTGTGATTAGCGCATCATGTAGAGCTCGTCGAGAGGAATAGATTGCCGTATCGTTCGCCTTCGACAGACATAAAATTACGTCGCAACGCAGTTTATGCGAGAGCCGGGGGCTTATGGGACTACGGGGTCCCGCCATGAGTTTCAATTGTAAAGCGTCACTGGAATTTAAATGGAAATTGTTTGAGTTCCACTCAACTCACAATAAATACAAATGATCTCCACAGTGGAAATGTGGAATTTTCACCTCTGCCTCAGCCAATGGAGATACGCATGGCTAGCCATGGTTTACTTGAGAAGCATGAGACTGGCAGGCATTGCTGACACAATGTAGACAACATTGTACCCTTCCTACAGTTGCGAGCGACTGGTAAATCTAAGCCGGTTCAGTTCAACGTGACGGGCCCTGGGATGGAGCAGACACCAGATGGATTTTTATCGTACAACCCGAACACAGGGTACCTCTACGCCACCCGGCCCATCGACCGAGAAAAAACCCCACGTGTTCAAGTAAGACTTCAGATAAACACCAGAGCCCAACAATAACAACCTATCGGCACAGACGTGCTTTAGAACATCGAATCCATGCTTAAGCAATCCCCAACGTGAGCCTTTTCACTGTTATAATTATAATCAAGTATGTCGGTGTTTTACAGAAATATACATGCTCTCGTTTTCAACACTTTATTGTATTCATTTCTGGTAGATATTCAATTTAATTTAGCTCTCAATATATTCTATGATGATGAAAACTACATTTTCACACAATGGAATTTTGCTATATACTGTACCTTAATTTGATCTGAAATTCCTCATGAGTATATTTGTTTGCAGTTGGAGTATTTCGTCTACAATGACCAAGGCACCTTGCTTGAAGGACCCAAACGTCTAACGATAGATATTCTGGACATGAATGACAATGTGCCAGAGTTTGCATCCCACATCTTCAATGCCACCATTCCAGAAAATGCAGCATATGGTGAGCCCATAAATCCATTTGTTATTCACGTTTATAGTTCACTACCAGCGCTCTCCAATATTCCTTTGGCATCACTTCTTTAACTTTTAACATTACATTACAGCCCTTTGTCAGTCCACTGCTGAATGGGGGTTCTCTCCTATGCCGTGAAAGTTATTTTACCAAACTTTACCACGCTAATCAGTCATACCAAGCAGCGCTTACTTGAGATTTCAATAAACAAATTACACAAGACAGAATCTTTGGATATTCCGAACGCATAGTGTGCTATTAAGTGCACTGGCCATAAGTTAAATTCCTAGCCATGGTTAACATTGGTGGTGTAACCTCTCCTACACCGACAACTTCACAAAATTAGCGCTGACATGTGTGCTAAAGTTTAGCCAAACAATTCCCCAAGATTGAATAGAGTGTGTGGAGCTCTCATCCAGATATGCATTGACATATCTATTATACAAAGTTAGTCGATGTTGATGTATCATACTTTGAGCAATAAATGCATATTAAACATTGTAGTAATATAGTTTATATCTCTAGTTTTCTTGGCCATATAATGCTAGACTTTTAGTTGGAGATCTGACAATGCAGTTATGGCAGGGTGTGATTGAATCCACATTTCTCATGATAACCTCCTTACTGGACTCGGCTTTCAATGACACATTTCAGATCGGTTCTACGCGAGAACACGCCCCTATGAATACAAAATGCATTTCTGTCTCCCATACTGCATTTCGCCTCATGCCATTATTGAAGGCCTGTCAACCGAAACATTGAGCTTCTATTTATGAGTGAGTAAAACTCTTAATAGAAAATATATATATATGCGACACGTTTTCACCTAACAGAGTGGGTGCAGATGAAACACGCGAGTTAACGCTTTTTGGGCTTGTTTGGAAACAGGCGTTTCAGTGCTGCAGGTGTCTGCTGTGGACAGAGACGACCCGAGCACTCCGAATGGTAGGCTCGTGCACAGCATCGTCTCTCAGACCCCTGGCGTTCCCTTCGCAAAGCTGTTCACCATCAATGGCACCACGGGAGTCATCTCCACAGCATTTGGTCTGTTCGACCGGGAGGTACGGCTTCGATTCAACTCGCCCACTCATAGGATCCATTGTACAGTATATGTATTTCCCCTGAACTGACTTGATGTCTGCTTACAAAGGTAAATGTACAGCCCTTCAATTGCTTGCTGAATCCGCTGCTAGTGGAAGGCTCTTCACTGGAGGGCGCTCTGAAGAATCCCTTCAGAGAGAGTATTTGGCCTACTCTTCCAACGCTGTCCAGATGTCTTGCTAGAGCTGGGATTACCCACACATTACCCCACCACACGTGACCTGTCAATCGACTAATTATGGTGCACCTATTTATACTGCTGGGTGGAGAGAGGCAGGGGAAATTTAAGAAACTTTCTCCAGGGTTTCAAATCTTGAGCCGGAAAATTAAATTAAACCTGCAACCTTTAGATTACAAGTCCAATGTGCTAACCATTAAGATTTTTACTTGTTTGTAACTTGGAATATGAAACACTTTGTTGACCAGGCCAAATCACTCTTGAAAAAGAGCTGTGTATCTCACTTGCCTTAACTCGGGAAACTTATCATGACTCTTCTGGCTCATCACCTCACTGCGGCTCCATCATTCTTATAAGGTTGCCTTATTGAGTTGTATATGTTTTTATTTTCTTCAGCTTGTAGATGGCTACACGCTGACGGTTCAAGCCACGGATCTGGGTGGCCGAGCGGGTGCCCTCTCAGCCAGTGCCACCGTGTCCGTGACCATCTCCGACGTTAATGACAACGCGCCGGTGTGCCAGCACCCGCAGGTAGGAACCGCCATGGCACGAAGACAAAAACTCAATGACCCGAAATGAATTGCCCACAATTCACAACATTTTTTTCCATAATTTGAAACACATTGTGCTGGATGGGGCAGTTATATTAGGAAATATGTCCGGGAGCTAAATGTCAATATCGAGGTCTGCTCGCCACAAGAGGGCTTCAGAAAAGAGTTGGTGTAGTTTAGCTGTTCCTCCTCTGTTGAAGGATTGCAGACTGAAGCGATTTACCATATGGTCCAGAGTAAGGGTTGCTTGGCTGCAGTCGCACTGTGGCCTGTTTGCAATTTTACATTCATGAATGAGATGGGCGCAGCAGCCAGTTGATGTTTTGATGCGGTTGAATGATGCACCAGTGTCTTTGAGGAATGTCAAAGCCTGGAAGTGCGATGTTTGGGTGTGGAATGAGGTGGTTATTATGGACGTCTGCATTGTTTTACTCTGTTCGCCAGCCTTCTTCTGGATCTGGGTGGGATTCTATGACAATAATGTCAGTAGAAGGACAGATGAAAGGTTATTTGGCTGCTATAAATTTGCACGTGATAAGCCACTTCGTTGCGCTATCATTTGTGGCGCGGTCGCTTCTGAAAAAGCTAATAGCTCAATGGGCTTTACTTGGTAATATAAAGAAATTGTTTAGTTTTAGTTTTTTTAAGTGATTTGTGTAACTTTTCTATACTTTGCACTCCAATCGTGTTTTTGTATTGTTTGTTTTTGTAACTTTCTGACTGGCCCCTAGTGGACATCTGTGAAAATGAGCATTATAGCTCATCGGATTCCTCCAGGATGAATAGAGATGTTGATTCTGTGTATGCATCACACGGCATAATAGGCAGGGCCAGATTAAGTTTGATGAGGGCCCGTGGCCATTCATCCCTTTCCCTGTTTTACCACTACCCATTCCCGATCCTAAACAGCACCCCATTGTGGTTTTCCCTTGTGACTTCAGTTCTGGTTTTTAAACGCGACTTAAGAACTTGCAAAGCCAACTAAGAGTTCAACCAAACAAAATCAGTTGAATTTCGGTACATCACTTTGTATACTTCATCGAGTGATTGCCAAATTACCTTTAGTATCTATTACAGTGCCACAGTATTGCATTTCATCAAATATAAATCAGTATATATAGATTTTTTTTGGGGTGTGGCTACTCAAAATCTGAGAGCCGTATCCGCTGTTCCCAAAGCTCCCGCATGAATCCAACCTTAATAATAGGAATTGGTCACAATTACACTTAATTTAATCAGAGCACAGATGTGCATTTAATGCATCTTATAGTGAGGAATAATTTGGGTAGCATGGTCCAACTTGGAGCTCAGTGCAACGTTTCATAACACTGTGAGCTGTTGTTGGATATTACTCGCCATGGTCCATGGGCACAATAACATATGTGGTGTTATCTTCATTTGCCAGGCTGGCATTGTGCTAACATTTCCTTTAATATTATATCATGTACTAAATTTCGATTTAAAGCTTTCGTGACTGCAGGGATTCATCTACTTGGTTCTTTCGGTAAAGTCACGTAGAAGGTAAATAATAAAATAATAGTATGTAATATTTTTATTATTTTATTATTTCCCTTCTATGTGACTTTACCGAAAGAACCAAGCAGATGAATATCATGTACGTTAATGTGCCCATACTGCCGATTAACCTATGAACAAATCACCTCCCGCTCTCGTCACACCTCGCAAGCTAAACGCATTTGAGTCTGGATAGTGCTTGGATTGGCAACTCAACCATGAGGCATAACAGATGTGATAGGTTGTATGTATCTATGTTGAATTAACTACGTACGTTGCTTTTGCTTTTGCACCGTACGTAGCCAACCGTGCTAATTGGAGGTGCGGGGGAAGGACAACAAACTAAAAACAAAAAGCAGTTGTCACGACAAAAAGGTTATGGGGCTATGTCGTGGGTAGCAGACAGCCATATAGAAAAAAAAATAGTTGTACTGTACTTCTATACTCCCAGGACTATGCTCTCCACCTCCACCCACCTCACTAACCAGCATGGGGAAGTACGCTCAAATAACCCCCATGGCATAGGAAGGCCCTCATCCAGCAGTGGATTTAAAAAGGGCTGTACATGCTACATGTGTGTGTAATATAGACATGTAGCCAAGTGTCCTGATACCTGTGCGTTGGCTTCATGTGTTCTTGTTCACTGTTGAGATGGAATCAATGGAAGTCAAGGCCTGCATGCTAACTCCATTGTGTGTCTTCTCTTAGGTGTATGGGGAAGTCAAAGAGAACACCACCGACCTTAACGTGACAACGTTGAGCGTCACGGACAGAGATGAGAAATTCACTCCCAACTGGAGGGCAGTATACAAGATCCAGAATGGAAAAACAGAGGCACATGTCGCGATCAAAACTGACCCTCAAACAAACCAAGGCATCGTTAGTATCATTAAGGTAGTGCATTTTATTTGTTTGCAGAAATCAGTGCTGACGTGTCACCGATTTCCTCTGCATGCAATGTTTGTAACTTTTATTGCTTCAAAAAATATACACTTAGATGGTTGCCGAACTTCCAGTGTGGAGCTGGGGTATCCTGTGGTGGCGCACATTTTTAGTCGTGTTGGTGAATCATAAATAGCCGTTTCAGCTAGGAAATGGCAGAAGAGTGAATGGACTTGGAAACTTGCGTGCGTGGAACTTTGAACGTTTCTTCGCAGTATGTGTGGTGGGTTTCTCCTGGCAACACTCAGAACACTTGTTTAAAAGGGTTTGGAAAAAAAACACGCAGGGCAGGGCTCACCTGAAATATCTTCTGGATACTCACTGAGCTTTTCTTGGATAAAATATTTTCAGACGGTCGCAAATCGAGCCGTCGTTAGTCGAACCCTTATCTCCCATAGGGTGCAATGTTATACATTGGTGTTCCGTTCCTGGAGACACCCATTGCATACCATTAAAATACTAAAATCGACCACGAAAATAATTTAAAATAACACGTACAAACATTTATTGTCACTTAACGTAACCTTTACCAACATTTATTAAGTCAAAACAAACACATTTGAAAATCCTTAAGTACTTTTCTGCATGTGCATCACATTTCCTTTTCTCAGACGTAGGCGAAAATGTTTCAAAATGTGAAGAAAATTTACAAAGAAGTGAAGAGCTTTGAGATAGAGACGCCGCTGCGTTCGACTTATGTGCATACGAATTCGGCAAAAGAGAGAAAAAAAGTACCGCCAGATGGCGCTGCGTGACACGCGCACACTCCCCGACGCCGAGTGGCCAATCGACTCGGCGTCCGGTCGCAGTAGTTGGTCGTAGGTACGAGTTTTTGTCGTTACTGTGGGATGGAGGGTGGGGAGGTCTTCATTACTATAAGGTCCTAAAAAGGGGTTTGTCGCAAGTCGAGGCGTCGTAAGTTGGGGGTCACCTGTAATTAAACTCGGCCTATAATTATTCGAGGTAAATAAAATGGACACCGCTTTTTGCGAAGACAACAGCATTTTACCTCTGGAGAGACTTGCTCAGGGCCATCAGTAGAGATGAGCACTACCGATAATAACTACTTGCCTTCAGACGGTCCCCAATTTGAGGGTGTATTGTTCCGGATTCGTTACATGTTCGTGATTTGCAGAGGTGTGGACTCGAGTCATGTGACTTGGACTCGAGTCAGACTCGAGTCATGAATTTGATGACTTCAGACTCGACTTGGACTTGCATAACAATGACTTTGTCCCACCTCTGAGGTGTGGACTCGAGTCATGTGACTTGGACTCGAGTCAGACTCGAGTCATGAATTTGATGACTTCAGACTCGACTTGGACTTGCATAACAATGACTTTGTCCCACCTCTGGTGATTTGTATCTCCCTTTGCGATGGTTGTGTGTTTGGGTTCTGGAATAATAACGAAAACTACAAATGAGCAAGGGAAATTATTAACGTAACAATTCAAGTAATTCCAGAGTTTCCAACATTGCGCGTTGCCATTCTTCAGCCTGTGCACTACAGAGACACCAAGGCGATCATGCTCAACTGTCTCGGTGGAGAATGAGGTCGCGTTCTTGGGTGGCGACACGGGGAGTGTGGCAGGACCCACGGGCCTCTCGGGGGCACAGGATCCTTTGTGGTCCGTGCAAGGGCGGCAGGCTGTGCGAGCTCATAATTCGCGTGCTGGAGGAGGAGCTGGCGCCCGTCTTCGTGCCGCCCCACGTGGAGGTGACGGTGGAGGATGGAGCCCGACCTGGAGCTCGCGTCACCATTCTCACCGCCACCGACCCCAACTCCTCGGCCAGCCGCATCGAGTCAGTGGCGGCGTAGTGCGAGCTTTCGTTCACTCGGCGTCAAAATGCCTCCACGCTCAAACGAACATCGGGTGCTGGTCTTAATTTCGTAGTGGGAATTAGTATCTCGATGCTCAAATCAGAATCAGATTCTTTAATTGTCTTGGAGAAATCCGAGGAGCTATGGACGCTCTTTTTTCACAGATGTCCAGTAGCGGCAGGTCAGAAAGTTACAACAAACAATAAAACATAAGTTATAGGGGTGCAAAGTATAGGAAATGTTAGCAAATCACTATAAATAAACATATAAACTAAGACTGAATCATTTTTATTTAACCAGGTAAAGGCTACTGAGATATTCGTTCTTTTTCAGAAGCGACCTGGCCGCAAATGATAGCTCAACAAAGTGGCTTATCACGTGGAAATGTATAGCAACCAAATACTCTGAACTCTGTGTGCCAGTGCTCAACTGCAATGGCTACTTTAAGGGACAGGGACAAATATATGTGCACTTACGATTAATCCAGTTGGTAGGAATTCCACATTCTTATGATGGGAAGGCCTTTAATTTCCCGAGGGCAAACATCTTAATTTTCCACCAAATGTCATTTGTTTTTCATATTCTTTGGGTCTTTCGGTAAAGTCACCTAGATAAGTTCAAAGAAAATAAAATACAATAAAATATATTTTACTTGACATACCCCTCAAGGTATGACGGGCAAGTCAACCCTTGCAAGGATTTTATCTTTCACATTTGAGTGGGAGTGTACTCTGGCAGTATGGAATGTGTACCACCCCATGCTCATATTATTTGGAAGGCACTGAGATTTGTCATTTTTGGAGGTAGCTGGGAGCTTCTGAAACCTCTCTCTATGATTATGTTCTGACACTGATCTCCCATTTCTGAAATAGTGGTTTGTAAAATGTTGCTGTATTGCACTGAATGGGCTCCACAGTATTCATGGACGGCTTTGTCAATAACACTAGGCAACCCAGCAGTGTTTGTTTAACTGGCTACCCTGCTGATGATACCCAGAATTATACAATTAGTCCAGATATTGCCTCTTGATTCTGGTAAAACTTGATCGAGAAGGCCCATAGGCTCATCTTGATTTATGGCAGAACAAATGTTACGCAAGCTTAATATATGCATCAGTTATTACCCAACACCCAGAGTACATTAAACACATTTTCAACAATAATGCATTGTTTTTGTCATATATATTCTTTTGCAAGAGCCACCACATTGGAAGCTACCAATATAATTCCTCATAATGCGGTCTTGCACCGCCAGCCACGTGGCCACCCTCGAACACCGTAGGTTTTATTCATATTCCCAACAAAGCCTCGAATGTTCCTCTGTGTTTGCTGTAACGATCTGGCTGTGTTCTCTTATGAGTGTGCATTGGCTGGTGCTCTGGGTTCCCTAACCGCAAGACGTTGACGGTCGACAGGTACAGTATCCTCGACGATGAGGCGAATTGGCTACACGTGGACAGGAGCAGCGGGGAGGTCACGACCAGAGCAACGCTCGACAGAAACTCCACGTTTGTGCGAAACAGCACGTACACGGTTTTTGTGACTGCCATCAAGCACGGTGAGCAATGCACGGCATGGCCGAGTCAACTACTGTGTTCGTATTTAATAATAATGCTTTCGTTTTATTTTCGTGCTCATAGCATCCCATAACACTGTACATATATGAGAACAAAATCTCATATACAGCCACTACCAAGCAAATGAAAACCCTACTACCAAGCAAAATCTAAAGTGAATATATATTTATCTTGTATGCGTATTCCTCGAAGATAAAAGTTCCATTATTGTGTGATAAATAACACCACCTTCCGATGTGTGTCTCTCCACGTAAAAGTAAAAATAACGAGAGTATTTATTCCATAATCCATCAGCTGCACTGCCATCTGGGAGTGGGTCTTTACAAGCAAACTGATGTTTATGGGCGAGGAACATTTGTGTAAGACCATTTGTTTAACAAATAGATCCTTGTTTGAGACAAAACTATGCAATATGTGCCACAAAAAAGTCACGAAGTAACATTGTGGAGAATGTTGAATAACAAAATAAATTACGCATCCTTCCCATATTTGCCTCCACATTTCTAGCAATCATCGCCCCCTTACTGGTGAAACTGCTGCACGCTATGGTCGGGGTCGGCCACCAAAATAACAAGAAGAGCATTTTTATCGAAATTCGCAAAAAAACCCTCAATATTTCAAGAGCCGCAGCAATGCACTGTGTGGTGAATGCGAGACGGTGGTCATTAATAACGTCATGGAGCAGTCCTTAAAGAGCCACACGCAGCTCCGTAGCCGCGGGGTTCCTGTCCGCAAGCACGATACGATATACACGCTCTTAGAATGACGAGAATACTGAACCTTAGCAGTGATTTCATTGAACGATTTAACCCTTTGCCGTTCCGAGACATCTGCAAGTTGCAGGGTGGGTCCCGTTCACCGCTGAATCTCAGAACGCACAAGCGGCTCGGCGTTAATTTTACGTAGGCATAGCGCCGCTGTTTTTAAAGACAATGTACTCACCGCAGATAACTGGAGTGACACTGCACTATGAAATAGCTGGCAATGAACTTGTACCACACACCCTCCCGCATGGCTTTTTACTTCCGATTCCGTTCCAATGACGTACACGTACGTACATTTGCGTCATCGGAACTGATGAGGTACACGTACGTACGTTATCCGTACGTAATTAGTACGTCAACGGACTGGAAAGTGTTAGCACGAAACCCAGCCAACCATGTGCAGAGTGGTGCTCCCATTGCTGCCAGGAGCGTGGGGGCGGGAGTGAGCGTTGCATTGTCGCTGCCGGCGCAGGTGCGGCCACCAAGACCGCCACGTGCTCCCTCGCCGTGCGTCTGGACAGACCCTGCAGCACGTCCCCTGCTCACCCTGCCCCCCAAGGTCGCAAAGCAGCGGGGCCTGAACGTCGGTGCCATGGCTGCCGTCATCTGCTCTCTCGTCGCACTCGCACTGGCGGGTATGCACAGCCAGACTTCTTGATGCCGTTGGTAATATTATTTTTTTTACGTTTTGGCTTAGAAAATAGCAACTTCAAAATCTGTAACCGAGTTTGAAAGCCACACGGTGGCTTCAGGTGAGTGCTTTGCTGCTGCTGCTGTTGCCCTCGGTTGAATTTCAGAAGTTCGCAGTGATTCATGGTGCACTGCTGTGTGACTCACAATGTGCTCAATTGTTCATAATGCGCTCCACGGTTTGGTCAGGATCTCCATATTGGCATTCCGAGCTTCCTTAAATTTCACACTTGTAAAGCTGGTGGCCTGATCCAACCGGATGTCAATTGGAATTACACGTAGCACCATTGTCCCATTTTGTACAAATTTTGACAGTACTCTCCTGAGGGTTTCCTGGGTAAACATGCATAATGCTTATATAAATAACCCTTTTTTATTTCAGCGCTTCTTGTGCTACTGTGCCGAAGATCCAGAAAGAAGAGCCAGCCATCCGAATATCTGATTTCGAAGATGGAAGCAGAGGGCTCTCTGATCAAATACAACGAGGACGGTGGTGAGGAGAAACCGGTGAGCGTCACCTTGTCTCGACGATTTTCCAGCACCATACCACATACAGCCACCTGCATGCACAACATTTTACATACAGCGGTTCCTAACGGTAAGCTTTCCCACCTGATGACGGACGCTTGTGTTGCACCCGAAACGTTGTGATTTACTTTATTTTATACCTACATGACTTTACCGAAAGAACCAAAGAGTATGGATTCCTGCAGTCATTAAAGCTTCAAATCAAGATTGGTATTAATTTGTTCCACGAAAACCATTGTTAACTGAAATTATCGTTAATCGAATATAGGGAATACATGTTAATGGCTCCATTTTTTCCAAGACGATCAGAAGTTGACAAATGTCACCCTAAAACATACTTTATAACATTTAATCACACAATTGTAATAAATAAACGTTTTAAGAACATATTAAAGCATTAATAGTAATAGAAATATGGATAAATATTGAATAAATAGAGCATACATTTTTTTCTTTAGGTTAAAGAGCTGTTTTCATAAGCAATGCACACCAGACATTAAAAGCGAGCAGCCAGTTGCTCTGAAAATGCTCATAAAAGGGCGTCGCTGATTGGCTGGGGTCTGCTGCTGAGTCCACTTTAGGAGTGCTCTGATTGGGCAAAATTAGCGGCCGCGTGATATTGTAAACATATGGTTCGTTGAAAATGTATCGTTAATATAAATAATGGGACCTTAAGGGAGGCGGATCGTTGATCTAAATATCGTTAATCGATTAGCATAGTATTCTGAATTATATAACAAGAGCAGAAGCCAAACATAACACCACTCGATGGCATGAATGATCACGTGTCTGCATTATTTCATGGCTTCTAAAGCGGATTGTCTTGCTCAGAGGCAGATCTAGAAACTTGCCATGGGTGGGGCGGGCCCAACATTACGATATTTTGAGATAGACGCCACCCCCTCCATCCCCCGGATCTGCCACTGCTTTTGGTCGATTGTTTTGAGTTTGCGGCATTCTCTTTGTCTTGTCAAGTACTCCTTGAGGCTCGTGGACATGACCAAGACCAAAGGCGATGAAGTCTCAAGGGAAAACACCTCCCGGGACCAAGAAGACCCGCCTAGAGACACCACGGAGAGCAGTTTGTTTCTGCAAAATCTATCGCCACGCACTGACGGGGAGACTGAAAACGACTGCAGTATCAAGACAAATTCTGCAGCACAAAGTTTCGGCACGCTCTCCGAAGAGGGTTCCATATTCCAAACTGCAGATTTAGACGTTGACCTTACTAGCGTTGAGTTGGAGTCCCGTCCGAGGAGCTGCCAGGAGCTCGAGACCCAGTCCGAGGTTCCCAGCGGCCATGCCCTCCATGCCGCCCGGCGGGATGCTGCTGCGTTCAAAAAACTTCCAAAACATTCACGTGGCATCGGACGTGACGACGTCGGGTGACGGTGGCCTGGCGGCGCAGCGGTTCAGCAAGTCCATGCACAGCTTTTCGGACGCTCGGGCGAGCGAGTTTGCGTCGTCGGAATTACTCCTGGACCAGGATATGTTTGCACAAGAGCACTCGGATCTTGAGGTGGGCGCCGAGATACGTACGCAGCGTTAGCCAACCATGCACACTCAGCCAGCGCCTGGTTTCGTTGGAGATTGTTGACGTTAGGACATTTGATCTTTCCCAGCGCCACTGCGGCTAGGGTAAAGTTAAAGTGAGTTGAGCGTTGAGGAGGTGTTCATCTCACTTTTGCTGCCCTGCAGCAAGTGGTGCAAAGTCCACATTCCTATGGCGCAGGCGAGTCCATCCGTAGGACAAACACTCTTGACTTCCCCCACATGACAGTTTTTTTATTGAACACGGAGGGATTATGGGCTGAGTCAACCCCCAGACAGGATTTTAAAGTCGCTAGCTTTCCATCGCGAGTCTGTGGAGAGACTTGAGCCCACTGCCCTAGCACGTGGAATTTCTATGCCCCAAGGCTGCCAGCAGAGATAAGTGCCATATAACGTATCATGCGAGCAAAAATACATTATTAGTGTTATTTAAATGAGAAATTACATTCATAACATGCCTTTCTGTTGAAATGCTGTAGATGATTAAAACATTTTTGTAAAGCCATGACATTATTTGCTCACGACACCACGAGAGGAAGAGCCCCTCTGCGAGTGTTTTTGGCCGCGTGTCTACTCACACTTTACCCCACTACACACCACCTGCCACTTAACTAGCTCTCTTTTACCAATCTTTTTTACTGCGGAGTGAACAGAGGCAGGGGGGGGGTTATTAAAAAAAGCACCATTGTTTAATCTGCTGGCACTGGAGATGATGTCCGAGGTACATTCACAACATTGAATTTAATTTCACAACGAATGAAACATTGCAATAACAACAACAATGGCAACCGTGTGTGTGTGCAGAGATACCAGTCAGATGATCATGGGATGTCGGAATCGACAGATGTCAGCCTGGACTGTGATTGGCCTGAGGACAATGGGTCCGAGTCTGTGACTTTGGACACCCCACAGCCAGCAGCCAACCCCATGCTTCGTGCGTTTGAGCAGCTCAACTCCGGGCAACTGCAAGAGTGCTTCTCAATACTCCTCGGAACGGTGAGCGAAGTTCAGTAGAGTGCTACTCTCATCGTTATCGTGATTAGTATCATCATGGGCGTCGTCATCAGTTACATTTCCATTGCATATGTATTGCTTGTTTGAGGGCATTGTTGTGAGCTGTCGTGTTTCCTGCTAGTGGGGAGCGGTAGTGTAGTGGTTAGCGCGCTGCGCTACGAACCCGGCGACACGAGTTCGATTTCTGCTCACGACCAACACTGGTGACGATTATTTGAACCGGTCCCGAGCTTCTCCTAGGTAGACTCAGCCTCAAATGAGTACCTGGCGCGGTGTGTAAACATCGCCACTCGGGAATGGTGCTGGCCACTGCTGTTTAATTTAGTATTGGGACAATGCTCATCTCCATTGTTGGGAATGAGGCAGTGGTAAACAAACAATATCCACGTTTTCATAGCAAGAGACATTTTGTCCACAAGATGACCATCGTTGACACCACGGTAAGATGTGGCATTATAAAATGATAAATGTGAATTATATTTCGAATTGATAAAACTAATAGGAAAAGTTGCAGCCCTACAATTGCTTGTGGTCTTACCTGGTAAAAACAAAAAAAAATATTTTAGTTTATATTTTGCTTACATCACTGCTGGTAGAAGGGTCTCTATCAGAGAACTCCTCCAGAGGCTATTTTGACCTACTCCTCCTCACTGGCCAGATGTCTTGGTAGAACCAATGGCAACACAGAAAATTTGACCGAGAAAGACGTGATGTCCTTTCACCAGCAGTGGCCTGAGCAAGCACTACTAGTAGTCCCGCACCTTCACCTTTCACTTGCCCATTACTATACATCGGTCGATCACCTTTTGGGCCAACGTAACCTATGCTGAATCCCGTCTCTCCCGTCCGGCAAGGAGAAAGAGCTCGCGGACATGGACCCGTTGGCCCAGGCCAACGACATGCTGCTGTCGTACCGCTACGAGGGGGACGGCTCCCGGGCCGACAACCTCTCCTGCTGCTCAAGCTCCCGCGGAGACCGCGGCTGTCGCTCGGCGCAGCCTCCTGCAAGCACAGCGAGGCCGTAGAGGGGGCTCTTCTGTACGGCCACGGTGTGGAAATGCCACCGAGTTATCTGAGGCTCAGATCCGTAAAAACTGTACGGTATGGCTTAATCAGAGTGCGCACGATGCTGTTAGAAGCCGAAAACAGGTAAAGGCGCAGTCCTGCAATTGCTTGCTCCTGCCACTGCTGATGGAAGGGCTTCCACTAGAGGGAGCTCTAGATTGTTCACTCGAGTGGAACTCTGGAGGGAGTTCTAGAGTGTTCACTCGCTTCATAGCTCATCGGATTCCTGCAGTCGAAATAAAGATTCTGATAATCATCACTTGCTCTCATCATCATGATCATCATTGTGTGAGAATTGGTATTGCCTACTGATTACTGTTCTCACACTACTTGCAATCAACATAAACAAAATACAGTCTATTCTATAATGCGTTAGCTTCATTCCTGAAGAACACCGCGTTATGGAAAAATTGCGTTATAATAAATAACATATTATATATGGTAAATCACGCCCCACGATAACACGTGAGATGCGTATGCAGGCTGAACAAAGACTAAGGCACGTGGGTAGTATCTAGAAGCATCCAGCAGCATCCCAATGACTTGTACGATGCTACGCCGAGGCAGCCGTACGGCCGCTTATTCCTTTTCGCGCGACGTAGTTCTGTTCACTCGATCGCGTTATATCCAATTCGCATCCGCGTTATAAAAAAACGTGTTCCCTCATACATTCATCGCGTTATATCTAATTCACGGGAGAACAGGCTGTAACTCAACAGCAATTCCAATTTCTCACTCTCCCCACTCTCCTCACCCAATGGTTTCACACCACCACCACCACGAGTGAAAATCTCCTGCCACCCGCTGGCCAAATTTGCATACTTCCCTCCTGGCAATTGGATGTTTGGGGACAATGTGCACTGACAACCAAGTTTAAGAACAAACGCTCAATACGTCACACAGAGATGTAAACTATGAATAAAGCGTTCATTGTATTCCTTTTCATCTGTGCAAATGATGCTTTTGAAAGGACATTATTTGTGTTACGTGTCTGCAGTATTTTTTGTGAAAAGCCATTAAGTTCATGCTCATTTTAAAAGTAACTCCTTCATACCAGTTTAACACGTAGGCTTTCGCGACCAATATTATTCATGATAAAGGTTTCTGTGCTAGAGCGCGTAAGAAGAGTGTGTCGTAACCCTCCACCACCCGATACAGCCAGTAAGGTTTGTCGCGTAAACAACGCGCCAATTAGTTACTACTTCAGCCGAGTAAATCCACACCATTTACAATTTGAGTACGACGCTTCCCTTGTGATTACATCCAGCATCATCGGGCGATTTGCCAGAATAGTGAAGCAATCCACCTACTTCCGGTCTTAAATGGAGCAAGATCACGTCACTGATCGGTTTTAGTAAAATATTATTTTCGAAAACAATGTCTTACTTGGGTTGAAAAAACGTTTCGGCTCCTCGCTTGTAATCGATGCAATTGTACTGTCCAGTGTTGTGAGTTCACCACGGGATGGTGGTCTCCCCTAAATCTTTGCGGGTTATGAGGGATAGTTTGACCATACGTCACCATGCTGGTCAGTGCAGGTGGCGGTAATGCTGAAACAATAATATATTTGTCTGCACTGCCCTCTATTGCGCACAATACCCATCGCACCTGACTCCTGCACATGGTGGTCACACACACAAGCACTATCTAGCCTCAGCACTGCTTAGCTTCTGAGATTTGATGGTATCGAGGGTGGGGGGAGGGCATTCCGGGTAAATGTTACATGCAACAAACTTGAAATTTGCCATGTGGGTACTTTCCAGACTGTTTTTTTAACCGGTCCTGGGCCTCTCCTAGGTCGACTCATCCTCAAACGAGTAACTGCTGTGGTGTGTGAACATCGCCACTGGGGAGACAAAGGCGGCCGGGCGTGCTGCTGTCACCCACCCCCTCGTTGTTTATAAATATATATTAAAAGAGTAATTTAATAATGCATCAAGTACAAACATAATAAAGACTGCCCTCACTACATTTAGCAATACAAGGGACGTTTGATATGGACACTGGAACAACACTGTCTTCCCTTCGCATACACTCAAGTGAACGCTCTGAAATGTACTCTCCTGTAGCTCAGCAAGAGGCCCAAGATAGCAATCGGAGCTGGGTATGAGACCAGGAGCTTTGAACTTGAAAAGAGTTGTACACGTTTAGGCAATACGGGCATTTAGGGTTTAACATGTACTTCATACTCTTTGGGTCTTTCGGTAAAGTCACATAGATAGAAAAATAATAAAATAAAATCACGACGTTCCAATCGCAAACACAAGCAATCAACTTCAGGTGAAAAAATACAGCAGGCGAACTGCTGAGGCAGAAGAAATATAGCGAGAGAACTACTGCAGCCAAAGGTTATATAGGTTTGAGATGGGTACAACCCAAGGGTAAGTGGGCGGGGCGGGAGATGGAATTTACAAGAAATATACCTTGGCCATTTTATTTCTAGAGATAAGCATGTCAATCTGTTAATGTGTCGTGGGTTAAATAACTAGAGGAGAGTTCCTTGAGGCAACACGGAATTTATTTAACAATAAATCCTTAACACAGAGGGGTAACGGACCCCTCACACCTGATACACTAAGGAGGTAGCCCCTCCGGACTAACACGCCTCTCACTGGCTAACCTAACTCCGTCTTGGGTGAAGCTTGGGTCTTCACTGGTATAAGCTAGAGCCAACCCTAGCCAGGGGTACGGCTCTTCTCTTCTGGAAGCTCTTCAATCTTCGGGTGAACGACGACTGCCGGGACCGTTCAGAGGTCCGGCTTTTACGCAGGGCCGTGGCTCCCTCCGCCCCGGCCACACCTTCCTTCCTGAACCTTCCAGAAGGACCTGGAGGTGATGTCATCCCCCAGCCCCCTCCTGGGGTCTGGGGTCTGTACCTCTGGACATGCCGTTCCATAGGGGTAACCGTTGGGCCCTATGGGCCATAGTCTCCTAGCACTGGGGCTCAGCCCCTCTTCTACCCCCTATTGGCATGTGGCCGGCACTACCAGCTAACTGCATGGGAATGGGGCATCTTCACCCAAAAACACTTTGACAAATGTAACCCCGAGACTACGGTGCTGAAGAAGCCATTCATTGTATTGCTAGAGATTAGAGAGCAGCATGTCAATGTGAGATGGCTCCCGCAGCAGCGGGTGTGTTAATGAGACACATTCAGCCTATTAAACAACGAGAACCACTGCCACATCGACGAAAAGGGAAACAGCGGCTATGTTAGTGAGACATTTAGCCTGTTAATGTAAATACAGTTTAGCATCATTCGATTCCAGAAGAATGTTTAATTTCAAGCGTTCTACTATTTCAGTTGTGCAGTCGTTGATTTTGTTGTTGGTGAAAATGCTTTGAAAATCCAGCATTCTTTCTACAATGTCCGCTGTAATGTGTTCGAGATCTGGAAAGTAATGTTTAATATCAATGTTGCACACTCGAAATGAAGGACGTGGGCAGGTGCTCCAAATCGAGGGCAAGCACATTTATTTATTGTGGTTAATATTAATCTTGGGAAGAACAGCACTGTCACTCTGTAAAATGCAACAACACGTGTGTTACAACCAGCCTTGCTCCCGAGCCGCCATTAACCATGTGACTGGTATATCCGCGTGGTCATTCATTAACCCTTTCTCTTAAACCCAATTCTACTACTGATAAACCATCTTTGTCTTTGACAATCACATTTGCACATCACTATTCGACTATTACATTAATCCTAAGCTGTATGTCTATCTATACTATCCACTTATATCGGTATCTTACACCCATTATATGTACTGTATGTGTACAGTATACGTACTGTATATCACCATTGTACATGTGTTCTATTCTCAATAGCATTGCAAGTAGTCATATTCTGGGTACATGGGCATGGTTATAGACTAAACAGTATTAGAGTTAGAGAATTACAATGACAGTAACTAATTACAGTGCGTCATCTCTTTACAATGCACAGTGCTAAAACGCATCTAATTGCATATATCACAAACGAACAATTCAAAGCCAAGCTTAAAGTCTAGAACAAGTCTAGAACATTTATATAACAATCAAAAACAACCTTTGGGTCCTTTACCTGTAAAATGCAACAACACGTGTGTTACAACCAGCGTTGTTCCCGAGCCGCCATTAAGCATGTGACTGGTATATCCGCGTGGTCATTCAATAACCCTGCCAGCCACCTACAGGCCCAACTCAGTCATCACATACTGCTGTACACACATGCATTGATGCACTGCACAGCACATCAGGACTTTCACAGAACCACACTTTACTCCCCTGCTGCACAAGGACATAATTAAAAGAGTGATCCATTCCTAATGTGCCACATCAATATAGACGTTAATGTTATCTACATGTTGGCATGTGTCATGGCTGTATGACACCCACCTTAACTGTAATCAAGAATGATTTCAACTCGTAATGTGCACAGTATTCGCTCGCTCTCGAACAGAGAGAAAACGACTCGAGACGCAATGAACCATGGGCGGCACCACATTCCACCCCTTCCAAGCTATGTGGTCCTCTATTTGTTAGTGTTATCGGCCTGTTAATGACACGTGGGAGGAAACCAGAGCACACGGAGAAAACCCACGCGTACGAGGGGGCGAACATTTGAATTCACTAACGGGTTATAACAAAGCGTTGTTGAACTTGGTTACTACTTGAGCTTTTGGCCATGTTGGAGTTGTTTTGTGTTGTTATAGATTGTTTGTTATTGATGTTGAAAGAGGTGACCTGGTGGCTCAGAGGTCAGAACAGTGAGCCAGCACTGCTGAGACACTTGCTACAAATCTCAAATTGTGGCAGTCACTCGTGTGTTAAGCTGAGATGCCAAATATATTAAGTTAATGGTCTCGACCCCAGTCACAATCAATGTAAAAAATAAACAACAAATAAAATGTGTATGGTTTACTGTGAATATGATTAAATTTTATCTCTAAGACTTTAACATCTCACTTTGACGCCACGCAACGAACGTTTCTCGGTCGAAGAATGCGCGTCAAAGTGTGGCGTTGGTGTGCGGCACCCTGAAGAGATTTAATGAAGCAGTTCTACGATGTCCATTTCTGCAGACCGTCCTCTATCAAGCTGGGTTGCATTGCTCTGCGAGTGTTCCGAATTTATATATTAATTGCATTGATAGCACAGGTGGAAAGACATCTGGAAAACATACACCATAAATAAGCAATGAAAATATCAGAGTGCAAATACAAGCGTATCGATTGTGCATCACGTGATGTGTTTTTAGGACATTACTAAGCACAGTCGTTGTGCACACATTTAAAGTGTTCCCAAAACACGATGGCAATATAAATGTGATGTACGGTAAGCCATGCATTGTAAAAACAGCTATAAAGGTCACTATATGGCACGTCTTCACCAGTATTGCTGCATACGTCCTGAAAATTTAATAACTTCAAATGGATAGTGTTTGACAGATCAGAGCCCCAGGACTGGACCTTATACGAGATCTGTAACCACTAACCACAGTGCAATAAGCTCAACTATATTGTTCTCAAATAACGTTTACACCATCGTTTATGATTTAATAATAACAATTTATCTTCTTGGTTCTTTCGGTAAAGTCACGTAGAAGGGAAGTAATAAAATAATAAAAATAAAACATAATAAAACAAGCTAGGAGCTTATATATAAGCTGAGTTGGAGGTGGGAGAAGAGAGCCTTAACAAAAAAATGTGCATATCAAGATGAATTTAGCATATGCATGGCAAATGCGTAGGAGGTGGGCGGGGGGGGGGTTTAAAATTCATATTATGCCCACCATGCATTATGCAGGATCAACAGCACCAAGGGCGGGTGCAGGGAGTAGCATTAACAAAGGAATGTTAATAGTATGTAGCTGCAGTTACTTCCCTTCTACGTGACTTTACCGAAAGAACCAAGAAGATGAATCCCTGCAGTCACGAAAGCTTTAAATCGAAAA